TGGTGGCCGTGACCACAGAGGGACCCACAGCCAACACCGACATCATGCGTGTGAGGCAAATTACCTGCTTAATCGTGAAGTCGTTGATGAGGTGGTGGTTATGTTCGTTAAGGTTACAGTGCAACGAGACACAGTCGCTCTGATAGAGCAGGTCCTGGAGCGTGTAGACCCGCTGGACTCCCAGGGACCTCTCTATCCCATCCTGCAGGTACGGGTCATAAAATATCACGTTGAAGCCAAACGCCTTGGCTCGGACCGCGACCGCCTGCGCAGTGCGACCTGTGCGGGAAGGAAAGAGAGGAGGTGATTGAACTGATTCCCACCGCCCTGGCTCCATGGGGCTGAGCTGCCCCATGGCCTGATCCCCTCCAGCCTGGTCTGAGGACTGCCATGAAGTCCTCTGGGACCTCCTGGGCTCCCCAGATGGCTCCTGAAGGGATGCTGGCTGGAGGGCAAACCCACACCACCTTGCACAGGGAGGGCTGTGCTTGGCTCTAGCAAAGGTGAGATGCTTGTGTTAAAATTTAATAAAAAAAACCCCAAAAACCAAAGAGAAGAGTGAGGCCATTGGACACGTGGCACCATCCACGGCCACGCAGGTCTGGGAAGGCACAAGGTGCAGCTCAGCCCCGCTGATGTGCGGCTTTAGACAGAGAACCAACCCTCTGTGGTGCTGAGCTCACCAAGAAAAGCTGAAAAAGGAACGAAAAAAGCACCATCACCTTTTTTTTTTAAGCAACTTGTTTGAGATTGATGAGAGGTTGAAAAACCTCTCACTGAACGGCTGGGTAACTGGCCATGACGAAATAACTGGCCATGACGAAGACAACTGTCGTGGCTTGGAAGCAAAGGGTTACACCATCTGCCGTGCTGGGGAAGGATGTTTGTGGTGGTGGTGGAGACCCCCAAGTGCCCATCCCCACCACGGGTGGTGCAGGCTCCATGTGCCCTCTGTGCACCTCAATTATTTATTTATCTGTTAATTTTTTCCAGCTGGCAGCAGCGTGGCAGCCCAGCACGTGATGGCTGGTGGTGCACAGCAACGTTCTCTTGTGCAGGGAAGTACCTGCTGCTGTCCTGGTGCCCCAGAGATGTAGGGTTGACCAAGGGGACATCAGTTGTGTGCCTGCATGGGTGTCCAGCTGCGAGCACATGCTGCTGCCCTCACCCTGGTCCTGCCAGGCAGACCTGGGCTATCCCAGATCTCCTGCTCTAACCTCACCTGCCTTGCCTCAGTTTCCCCATTTAAACATGCTCATATAGCTTTTTGCACTAATTAGCCCAAGGCTTTGCAGGACAATGGCATGAAGCAAGCGAGGAGAATGGCTGCTGCACAGCAACAAGTGGAAATGCTGCTGCCACGTGTGGGCTGGTTCCTGACCAACGCTCCCTTAGCCAGAACTGCTCCCTAAAGCAGCATCTCACCAAATCTCTGCTCACATTGCTGCTCCTTCACATGTGTCCGGCCACCAAGTGCCAGGTGAGCTTCTGCCACCTGAAGGCACCTCCTGAACCATCTGGCGATGGTTGGACTTTGCTCCCAAAGGGGTGTCCAAGAGGGCTGTCAGCAGAGGTGCTGCTGCCACCTCTGATGCCAAAACTCTGTACAGCGATGGGTGAACTGAACCCGAACTGTTTCACACGGCCCTGCCACCGCGCAGGGCAGGAGGGCTCAGAAAGAGGCAGGTTGGTGTGACTACAGCCCAGGGATGAGGGTTTTTGGATGAGGACAGCATCACTACCAGGTGTGGTCCCTCTTGGGGCACTGCCAGGTTTCTCCTGGAACCAGCATTCCTCCAAGGACTCAGCCAAAGTTCACAAGATACAGCTCCTTTCCTGAAAAAAATCAGTGTAAAATGTTCTCCCTACTTCACACCAACCCACCGCGGTGGTTCTGGGTGTGAAAATGCTCATTTTTAGGTCCTTCTTAGGGCAGTGAAGTGGTGCTGAGTCTTCCTGAAAGGCTGAACGCTGGGCTGGCAGCGCTCCACGCGCCGTTCACAGGCTGCCCGCCCTTCGCCAACGTACCGAAGCCGATGAGGCCGAGCGTCTCTCCCCTGATGCGGGCGGCCCCGGAGGCCACCTCCCGGATCTGCTCCACGCTCTGCACCCGCGTCCCCTCCCGCAGCGCCTGGTACAGCCACGTGTTCCGCCGGTAAAGGTTGAGGACGTGGCAGACGGTGGAGTCGGCCGTCTCCTCCACGGCGGCCGAGGGGATGTTGCAGACGGCGATCCCTGCGGAGACAACATCATAAAGCACAGCCGTGGCTCGGGGGGGACAGCCCTGGCTGCACACCCCACTGCTCCACAGAATGTCAGGGGCTGGAAGGGACCTCG